AAGTGGTTAAAATGTAACTCTTTAAAAAAAAAAAAAGTGAAAGTGGAGGCAAAGCTTTCCCTGATAAAGACAATTACAGGATTCACTTGAGGGTGAAGCTTCAAGTACTGCAAGGTGCTTCCAAGCTTGACTGTGGAAGCAGATGCATGGGTTAGCACCCTAACCTCGCAGCACTAACATGCCCTCTCACCTCCCACTCCTCACCAGGAAGATGGAGGTAGACACAGCTCTGATCTTACTGGAACAGTGCTGGCATCACTGTGACATTTTAGTGATAGTAGTGCAGTGATCTCCAGAGGTGCCTGGACACAAACACCCATGATGTGCAGTGGAAGTCAAGAACAGCCCACAATCTCAGCTGAGCTAACTGGGATATTTTAGAACCAAGGAAGTGACTTCTACTTTATCCACGTGCGCAGCTCTGCCTAAAATGTTGGTTTTGCTGCCAGATGTGGTGGCACACACCTGTAACCCCAGCAAGTCAGTAGGCCAAGGCAGGAGGATAGCAAGTTCCAGGTCAGCCTGGTCAACTTAGTGAAACCCTGTCCCAAAGTAAAATTTAAAACAGGGCTGGAGGTATAGCTGAATGGTAGGATATTCCTGGGCTCAATCCCCAGTAGTAGGGGAAAAAAAATTTTGTTGTATTCATTTATCCATTCATTTATCCGTTTTGTATAAGTGTGGATAGCACATCAAGAATATTTAAAAAATACAGATCCAAAATGCTTTCATCTGCCTCCAAACATATGTTAAAACCAAAACAAACAATAATTCATTTCTGACTCACGAGTTTGCTACCTGGGTGGAAAGACATAAGGATACCCTGGTTAGGACATAGGGCTCTGGCTTGGGCTCCTACTTCCAGGGAAACCTGGAAGATTGCTGGTAACTTGTCTAGAGGCCAGACCCAACAGATGTTTTCAGTCCTACTCCTCCTCGACCTCTCAGCTACTGAATGGTGACCTCTTTCCCCAGTGTCCCAAAGTGTTCTTCTCCTTAGGGCTGTTTCACTGTCTATATACCAGAAGGTCACTTTACCTGGCCCTCAACATGGAGTAATCTAGACCACCAGCCTCAACCCTTGTCTAATTCCAGAACTGCATGTCCAGCTGCCCACTGGGGCCCCCACAAGCACCCCAGATTTATCATATCCAGAAGTCAGACAATCTTGTCCTCCTCTCACTTTCCCTATTGTGATGGGTGTCACCAACCAATGAGTCACCAAGTTAGAGATGAAGAAGTCATTGTAGATGCATTCCTTCAGCAAACACCTATGAAGTGCCTACTGGGTGCCAAGCCCTGCCCCTTCCTGAGATGAGGACTGCACAAGACAGTAAACAAAACAAGAAAACAATAGAGCAAAACAATGCAGCATTTAGGTAGTGAGGAGGAGAAGAAAAGTCAGGCAAAGCAGAGACTACAGAGTGGTGCATGTTGCTCAAAACTCCACAGCTGGGTATGGTATGGTACCTGAGTGGGGCCAGAGTGGCCAGAGGGAGGCCAGACAATACCAGGTCCAAGAGGGCACTGTTGAGAATCTTAGCAGAGAAGTGACATGGCCCACTGGTGCTTGCACAGGCCTGCTCTGATACAAGGATGGGGCGTCCTTGCCATCCCTCTACCTCGACCTGCAGCCTCTCCCCGGCACCAAGGCAGCCCACAGTACCCTAAATCATTTCCCTGGATGAAACTGCTCCTCTGCACCTCCTGCCACTGCCCTAATTCCAGACTCAAGGCCTCACTTCAGGTGAATAGCTGCCTCACTTGCTCATCCCAGCCACCAGCCCCAGCCACACCACCTGCCTCACACGTTAAGCCACAGACCCAGGCCCTGTCCATTCTAAATGCCACCTAGCTCCTTAGTCCTCCAATCCTCCTTGCAGCCCCAGGAGAAGAGCAGCCTCTGAGGTCCTCCACAGGTCCTCCACAGCAGACTGCCCTTGGGCCTGTTTCCTCCACTCAGCCCATAGCTCCAGGCCACCCTGATAATTGACACTTTCCTTCTAGTGTCTCTGAGGAATAGCTGCCTATCAACTGTCTCTAACCTCTATGGCTCTGCCCTGCCAGATTGACTGTCAGCTTTCTTCTCCAAATCTCTGGCCACTTAGCAGTGCCTGACATTCAGGACATTCTCAAGTCATTTAAAGCCATGCCTTCCCTGTAACCTGTCAAAAACTTACCAGGGGGCGCTGAGGTTGTGGTTCAGTGGTAGAGCACTCGCCTAGCATGTGCAAGGTGCTGGGTTTGATCCTCAGCATCACATAAAAATAAATAAATAAGGGCTGGGGCTGTAGCTCAGTGGCAGAGCGCTTGCCTAGAACATGTTCGATCCTCAGCACCATATAAAAATAAACAAATAAAATAAAGGTGTGCTGTCCATCTACAACTACAAAAAACAAAACAAAACAAAAAGATTTTTTAATAAATAAATAAAATAAAGGTATTGTGTCCAACTACAACTAAGAGAAAAAAAATTTAAATAAAAAAATTTTTWAAACTCACCAGGTCCTATTGCTCAGGCTTTTAATAATCCTGTCTTTGTAACATAAAATCTTGGTTTCTGATATTTCACTCATCTACTAAGAACTAATCTTAGCTACGTGTAGTGGCCCACTCCTGTAATCTCAGTGACTTAGAAGGCTGAGGCAGGAGTATTTGAGCTCCTAGCCAAGCATGGTACCACACCTATAATCCTATCGGCTCCAGACYGCAAGTTCAAGTCTTGGCAACTTAGTAGTGATTCCCAGTCTGGAAATAAATTTTTTGAAAAAAAGAGGAGTACTGGGGCTGGAGTTGTGGCTTGGTGGTAGCACACTTGCCTGTGTGAGGTCCTGGGTTCGATCCTCAGCACCGCATTAAAAAAAAAAAAAAAAAAAAAGATCCATTTACAACTACAATTTAAAAATATATTTAAAAAAAAGAGGAATACTGGGGTTACAGCTCAGCAGTAGAGTGTTCGATGGGTTAATTACGAGTGATAGAGAGAAAGAGAGAGAGAAGAAAGAAAGCTAGCTTGCTAAAGAAAGACCCTGCCTCGAAATTTAGAATTTTTTTTTTAAAAATTGGGGGTATAGCTCAGTGGTAGAGTGTCCCTGGGTTCAATCCCCAGTATCAGGGGGGGAAAATTAATCCTACATTAACTCAACTTTCAAATTTCTATTTCTCATTTTCTGTTTAAACCTTCACATTTCAAAATTCTTTATACCTTTTAGAAAGTTATACACCTTTTCCCAACATGATGAACATGCTTAAGAATGTATCTTTTTAAAAATGAAAACATGGGGCTGGGGCAGCAGCTCAGTGGTAGGGCACTTGCCTAGCGTGTGTGAGGCCCTGGGTTCGATCCTGAGCACCACATAAAATGAAACAAATAAAGTCATGCTATCCATTTAAAAAAAAATGAAAACATTTAGATAACTAAAGTAAGTGCTAATTGTGAAATACTTAGGATACTATGTCCCTCTCCCCAGGAAAGTTTCCTCCCTCCTTGCTAAAGAAAATCTCCATCCTTTATACTCTTCTCATGCGCTGTGCTTTCAGGAGACACTGCCAAGACAGGAGAGTAACAGGAGCTGCAGTGAAGCTACCGCCCAGTCTCACACCAATGGGGACCATCACAGGGCTGCCAGGCTCAACTGCAAGATGATGTTGCATTCTTTGATGGTTTGCAGAGTGCCTGTCTTCACACATATAATGTGAAAGTTTAAATATTTAGTACCACTTTACCCTTACAAATGTTTAAGAAACAGCAATGAGTCAAATGTCCCACCATAACTGAAGCTTACAATCAGTCCACCAAAGAAGTAAATCCTTAGCTGTAATATGATTAAGAAGACTTAAGGTCGTACCAATTTCCTAATGGGTTTTTCACTGACCTATTACAATGTATTCAGAGTTGATTCTGATCAAAGGCTTAGTCATGCTGCCAGGGGAAAAACAAACAAACAGCCTTGGAATTTAACAAAAAGAATCAAAGATGCAACCGGCCTTTTACACAGTAGTTTTAAAGGGTATATCTCAAATACTTTGTTCTCACACTTTTTAAAGATACCATTTTCGCAGGTGCTCCTTGTTGTCACTTAATATGCATATTATTAACACATTTAAATAAAATAGCAGGTTGAAATAATTCTAACACAATAGACCTGGAATGGTCTAAAACCCTTGTTATAAAACCAACCACTCCATTACGCGTTAATTTTTTTTTTTTTTTTTTTTGTGCTTTAATGTTTTAAGGAAAAGGGAACGCCACGTGCGACACAGAAAAGCACTCCAGGACTGGGGCTGCTGCACGTTCAGAAGCCACGATGGCCCGGGACGTTCTGAACCCGGTCAGTGAAAGAAAAGGCCCGCCTGACAGCGCGGATGACAGTGTCGCCCAGGGCGGTGCCGCGGAAAGGCGTGGACGGCAGGAAGGGAACCATGGACAAAGCAGCCCGACGCCCCTCGCCGCCTGCCCCGGCAGCCACAGTCCAGCCGCCCGGCTCCTGGCCCACAGCTGTCGCGGCAGCGCCCGCAGGGAACCCCAGTCCCGAGGAACACGGATGGAGAGGGGAGAGGGACCTGAGGCACGCGAATGGGGAGGGGTCAGGCAGAAACCGAGCCCTGACCGGAGCGAATGAAGATGGACAGGCACCCGAGTCTGCACCGACGCGGGCGGAGAGGGGACAGGGACCCGCGCCCAGAAGGGTGCGGACGAGGAGGGAACTGGAACCCGCGGCAGGAAGGACGCGGAGGAGGAGGGGACAGGGACCCAAGGCCGTAGGGGCGCGGACGAGGAGGGGACATGGACCCGAGCCTGGAAGGGCACGGGTGACGAGGTGACGGGACCTGAGGCCAGAGGGGCGCGGACAAGAAGGGGACAGGTACCCGAGCCTGGAGGGGCGAGGGTGACGAGGTCACGGGACCGAGGCCGGAGGGACGCGGTGAGGAAGGGACGGGAGCAGGCCTCCAGGGCCGCGGTGGGCAGGGCCGGGCCCGTGTCCGTGCCGCGCACTCACCGTCCGTTCGGAGGGCCGCGCTCGCTCGCGCTGTCGGCTGGGAGCGGCCGCCCGAGATGCGGCGCCGCGGTCACCAGCGAGGAGCGCCTCCGCGGCCGTCCCGCTGCATCCCTGGCCGCCGGCCCGCGAACCCCGTACACTCCCAGCGCCCGCTCCGCCGCCGAAAATGGCGTCCCGGCGCCGCCCGCCCACAATGCCGCGCGCCGTGACGTCACCCGCCCTCGCGCCGCCGGGCGGGGCGCGGCCGGGGAAACTGAGGCGCGTGCGGGGCTGGGCGGCGGCTGGTCCCGGCGGGTTGCGCGGGGCGGCGCGCTCGGCTCCTGCTGGGGAGCCAAGCCTGCGAGTCCGCAACGACGCCGGTCTTCCGCGAGACCCTGCCCGGGGCCTTGAGACGCTAGGGGTCGAGCTCCAGTGGTCGCCCGGCACTCGGTCCGCGCCTCCTAAGGGAAGGGAGGAGGCTCGGGGCCTGGCCGAGCTCTCGGCCCCCGCCGGGCCTGCAGGGCGTGCCCACTGGCCAGGAAGCCCCAGCGCTCCCACTGCCGCAGGCACCCCAGCTGCAGGCCTGACTCAGCAGCCGGCTGGAGGGCTGAGTCAGCGGCAAGGCTCTGCTTGCCTGCCGGAGCTGGAAAACCTTCCAGGCGCTTTTCACCCGGAGGGGTGCAGGTACCAGCCCCCGCCCCGCCGTGGGAACTGCTGCCCTCCTAGATAGTACCAGCAGCGCCTGCAGCCCTGGTCATCCTGCAGTTACGCCTGCAGCAATAAGGAGACAGAGGCACCTGGGTTTTCCCAGGGAGCCCCGTTACTTTGGTCTGTTTTATAAATGCAAAGATGGGCGAACAAGGGTGGTAGCTCCTATGGGTAGCAGACAAGCTCGGATCCGAGCAGGGAAAGGCATAGATAGGGCCTGTATCAAACCCTCTCCACACTGCCCTCCGTGATTCCAGATAAGCTGCAGGTTAGATGTCACCTGCTCCTCAACCATTGCCATAGGGCCGGTTGGACAATGCACAATAGTCGCCATAAATGGCACCTGCAAAGCATCCACCGGTTCATGGCCAAGTTCCCCTGGAAAGAGAAGAGCCAGCTGAATAGGAGCCCTTTATTTTTCTGGGCCTCTGGGCCCATTGCTTCCTGTCACCCCAGCAAGATCCCTTGATGACATTTCTTCTCTCTGATTGCACTCTGTATGGGTAGCCAAGACTCTATCTCTTTGACATTCCTTTCCTTCTATCCCCATTGCCACCATTTTATTTTTCTTGTTCCTCTGTCCCCTCAACCAGTGTCTGTTCATTTTCTGTGGTCCTTCTGGGAAGAAGAACAGGATGCACTGATGAACCAGGCAGATAAAATCCCTGCTCTCCAGGAGTTCAGTTCTAGTGGGGAGAGACCAGTGGTAAAGAGAGGGAAATAACTGACCTTTCTGAGATCTGAGACCCAGAGGATAGGAAGAAGCCCCCACAAGGCCGGCATAGAGCACTCCAGCACGTCTTTGGGCAGGAAGAGCCTGGAGTGTTGGGGAAGAAGAAGAGGCCAAGTCATCCAACACATACACCAGTCCTGCCATGCTGCTCTTAGCACCAAGTCCAAACTCCTTAGCTTGGTCTACAGGGCCCACAAAACCTAATGCTTTCAACTTCTGTTCCCCTGTCCCCTGGACACCCTCACCTGTCCCTGAGTTCACCCTGCCCTTCCCCAACATCTCACCCCTACGGTGTTGTCCTCTCTGTCTAGAATGTTCCCCCAGGTACTCTAGGACTCAGCCAAGAGTCATTTCTTTCAAGAAGCCTTCCCTGCCCATGCCAGCCTGAACAATCCTTCCTCTGAGTTCCTACCTGTCCCTTCCCCTGAAGTGTACTGTGGTCAGTTTACAGGACCGCCTCCCCTTCAGCCTACAGGCAGTAGAACAGGAAGCACCTGTGTCCTCATCAACCCCCAGCCCTGCCCAGCTCCTGCCACAGACTACACAGAGGCTATGAAGGCAAATGTAAGACGGGAAGATCAGACAGTCCCTTCTCCAGGTCTTCTTTGCCTGGCTCAGCCTCCTCTGATGAAATAGACATGAAAGATCCTTTTGAGTCCCTGAGTTCTGTGGTGGTCCTCAAGAGTTCTGCCAGTCCTTGGAGCCATTAATGTCTGAAGTCCCCTCTTCCCTCCCCAAGTACTGTCTAGGACCAAAAGACATGGACATTCTGCTCTACTCTCCTGAATATCCAGCAGTTCTAATGGAGCCTCTCAGGATGTCTGCCCAGCAGGGGGCTGAAGCGCATGAGTTTCCAACTCATCCTCAACTGGGGTCCCTCTCTGAGATGAGGAGCACCCCACTCACTGAACCACCTACCTGTGCTTTGACCCTCACAGCAACTCAGCAGGGCAACACACCACCATCCCCATTTTTTGTTTTTTGGGGTTTGGGTTTTTTTTTTTTTTTTTTTTTTTTTTTTGGCACTGGGGATTGAACTCAGGGGCACTGGACTACTGAGCCACATCCTCAGCCCTATTTTGTATTTGGTTTAGAAACAGCATCTCACTGATTTGCTTAGTGCCTCACTGTTGCTGAGGCTAGCTTTGAACTCGTGATCCTCCTGCCTCAGMCTCCCAAACCACTAGGATTGCAGGCATGTGCCACAAAGCATGGCCCACGGTCCCCATTTTACAGATGCTGCAGGGGACTGCAAGTTCCAGCATTTGCTTGTTGTCCTCTGGAGGCATCCACATTTCAGAATGAAGACAAAACCCTCCATGCTTCCCATGCAGGTACCCGAAGGGCCAAGAAGTTGGTGCCCAGTGGGAGCTCAGCAGGGCTACTGCAAGGCAGCAAACCCATTAATCCGCCCCTCCCAGTAAGCCTAGAGGAACAGGGCCCTGAGGACAAAAACTGGAGGTTACCAGGACGAAGCCTAAACCCTTATTTATGCAGATGTTGGTACCTCTGATCATCTCTGGGGCAAGCAAATGACTGGAGGTTTGCAGAAAAGGCTGTGCCCTAAGGAAGCAGCAAGAGACCCTGGCCCTGCACCCACCCCACAAAGCAGGAGTAAGGGTTCCTCCAGCAGACAGAGAGAGAAGCAAGCTCTCCCCTTGCTCCTTGAAATTACTCTCCCATTTGACAAAGGCAGTCTGTGTGGTGGGCACTGCCACCTCTGTCCTGCCTGTTTCTCCACCTTCCCCTTCCATGGCCCCTCCTGGCCTAGCAGGAGGCTTGGGGATGAGGACGAATCACAGGGTGTGCCGGCTTGGCATCCGGACCTTGGCTAATCTGGGCTCAGTCCTGCCTTGCTGCCAGCAGGTCACACCCTTTCTGGTCTCAGGCTTCAATTCTAAAAATGGAACTTGTGTGGTTTCCACATTTTTTTTTTTCTTCACAGAGCTAGAGTTGCCCAACACAAAGCTCCAGGGACGGCTTCCTTCAGAACAAAGCAAAAATCAGTAGCAGCACATGGATGAGGAAGGGGCTCCCACCGACCCTCACTGTCCCTGCCCCAACCTGTTCCTCTGGAAGGCTGGGGGTGAAGCCTGGGTCCCGATGGAGAGCCCAGGTCTTCTGAGGGAATGGGGCCTGAGATTCTCCAGATGCTGGCAGGCCACCATGGCCATTCCTCCATGTTTTGAAGCCCAGGTTGGTGGCAGCTGGGTTCTTCAGTGTACTAGAGCCCAGGTCCCTGCAGTCATGCCTTGAATGCACACTCACATGCTGGGCAGACTGTACACCTCAAGAGGGCCGCTGCCCAGGGCTGGGATGTAGCTTAGTCATGATATGACTAAATGCAAAGAAAAGAAGAAGAAAAAAACAAAAAGGATGGCTGCGCAAACCAGGTGCAGTGGCACACACCTGTAATCCCAGCAGCTTGGGAGGCTGAGGCAGGAGGATCATGAGTTCAAAGCCAGCCTCAGCAACTGAGGCATTAAGCAACTTAGCAAGATCCTGTCTCAAAATAAAAAATAAAAAGGACTGGGATTGTAACTCAGTGGTTATGTACCCTGGATTCAATTCCCAGTATAAAAAAAAAAAAAAAAAGAAAAAAGAAAGAAAGAAAGAAAGAAAGAAAAGAAAAGAAAGAGGGTACATGCCCAGCCACATACCCTGAGCACAGAGGTCTATAAATGAGGACAGATGCATAAAGGTGGACAGGAAGGACTTCTCTGCCACACAAAGGTGGTCCTGGCTGCATGCACATTTGTAGAGTCACCTCACACTTACTGAACCCAAATATGTCTCTGGACCTGAGCTGGGTGCTGGAAGGCTCACCCTTCAAGTGGCCAGGAGAATATTTATCCTACTTCGCTTCTGAATCATGAGATGTGCTTGGGAAGTGCTGAGCCTTGTGTGCCTCTGGCATGGAAACTTGACCACTATATGTGGGTATCTAGAAAGGGCCCTGCTAAAAGCTGGGAGAGAGTCAGGAGTCAAGGTGATCCCAACAGTTCCAACATGGCTTGACAAACACCATAATAGACAAACACTGGAGCTGGTGCTGGGCCCAGGTCCTGGGAACTGAGATTCTGCATCAGCATTCTCTGTGACATGTTACYATAATACACATGGACAGAAGCATTGAAATGTGTGCAGCAAACCCCCACTTACTCATCACAGAGAGTCTACCATTTTGCCCTATTTGCTTATCAAGGGTCTCTCTTCCTATCTGTGTCCATCAGCTCTTCCTTTACATGTGCATTTCAAATTAATTTGCAAACAAACATCAGTACACTTMACCCCTAATTTCTTCAGCAATTCATATCCTTAAGTTCATATCCTTAAGTTCAATATTTGTAATTTCAGAGAACATTTACATATGTGGAATACACACATCTTAAGGATGTCGTTCAAAGAATTTTGTTTTACATTATATGTGCCTTTATTTCAGAAACTGAAGAGCTTTTTTTTTTCTCTCCTTTCAGCATTTGGAATGGAACCCAGGCCTCATGAATGCTAGGCAAGTGCTCTATCATTGAGCTACATCCCAGTCCTTTAATTTTGAGAAAGGATCTTGCTGCATTTCCCAAGTTGGCCTCAAACTGACAATCCTCCTGCTAAAGCTTCCCATATGGCTGGGATTACAGGTGTGTGCTGTCACACCCGGTTAGTTTCTTTTTAAAAGCCATTTTATTGTTTTTTATTTTTTGTGATGCTGGGAATTAAACCCAAGGCCTTGCATGTGCTAGGCAAGGGCTCTATCACTA